TGTGGGTTTTTATAGCGATTAGCTCTCTAATGCTGGCCCCGTTTCCATAGAAACCCTATAAATAGAGGAACGTTGGCGACTTAGGCTTGCTAAGGCTCACTGTGACCCAGTCACCCCACTGAACCCTCACAGCCAAATCTTAGGGGGGTGGGGGAGTAGAGGGAGTTTCAAACCCAGGTGGGAGGAAGGGACATGCAGTCAGCTGCCAGGTGGGATAAATTAACTGTAGGTTAGTGTGACTTCTTAAGATCTGTTCGGCTTTTCTGGGAGTTGTTAGGAACACAGGAACCTGTAGGAATTAGAAGCTGCTTGGCTATTTTTAATCAGATGGTGGCATGGACTCTCGTGCCTCAAAGCATTTACTTTTGGCCTCATGCAGCTGTGTTTGCAGATTTGGGAGCGAACTTCCTCTTTGGGGGACCCACACCCAGGGAGGAGAACAGATGAAGCCCAGCCGTTCTGAGACCACAGTCTTCTCAGGAAGGATCTTTCAGAAACCATCTAGTCCAGCCTTTCTTCTGGAGAGGATGATGTCACCCAAAGAAGAGGGGGGTCCTCCCTCCCCTTAGAGGTAGTCCCAGGGGAAGCGACAGCAACCTTCCCTCATTTATCTCCCCATGTATAGGCACGTGGCCCTGGAAGTGCGCTTTCTGCCTCAGCGCAGCCTCTGGGCAGCTCTGGGGACAGCCGTTGCTTGTTCTCCTGGATCAGGAGAGCTGTGTTTGTGTCCCACCCCTAACTCGGAAACATGGCAGCTCTCTTTTCCTGGTGCATGGCTTCATTCGGCCACCCAAAATGGTTTCTAGCAGCTGGGGAGAAGAGAAAGTGAGTGTGGAAAAGCAAGTGACATTTAGTAGCTGGAACCTGTTAGTCAGAGCAGGTGGTGCTTTCTGCTGCGTTGGTGGCTAAGTTCCCTCAAGCTAGTCACCATGGTTTTCCTCATTTCTAAAACCTGAGGCTGGTTAGATGAATGTCACCCTACTCTCTTGCTCTGCACCTTGTGAGGAAAAACCGTTGCTTTTGGAGAGTACCGCACCCCCCATTATTCTTTGACTTTTTTATTCCTTTCCCTCGTGTCTACCACAGACTTTAGCAGACGACTCTGTGCTGCTGGACCAGAGGTGCTGCTTTCCTTCGCCTGCTAAACAGGTGGGGAAGTGGGACCTAAAGGCCACAGTGGTGAAAGGTCTTGTCCAAGTGCTTCATATGTCATGGGCAGATCCATAGTGACAGTTCAGGGGACAGAACTCCCTCTGGCCCAGGTTTTGTTTTGAAGCTGCCTTTGATGCTGTTCTGGGGTACAGGTACGACACCTACTTTACTGTTGGGATCAGTGTATGTAACAGTGAAGGGTCAGTTAGAAGCCAGATGTTTGTCTGTGTGACTTGGACAAGCCACATAACTGTGCTGGCCTCAGTTTCTTCATCTGCAAAATAGAAACGCTACCATTGTATCTGTTACAGCCTCCTTCCTGAGGGTAGGCTGGGATGACAGCCTACATTGGAAAGCACTTTGAAAAATGCTGTTGTATAACATTAAAAATAAATTGACCAAGGATTTTAGGATCCCAGGCAATAGGGCAGACAGTGGTAGCTGCTGCCTGTAGCCCCTCAGCCCGTTTTCTGGGGCTGAGCAGCGGAGATGTCTCCCGGCGCCAGGATCTCCGGTGAGGTCTTTTGAAAGGAACTATTTTCCTTTTAATGTAGAAGCTTGCTCTCAGTGTTGGAGAAGCTAGGTCAGGAGTGGTGGGGAGAGGAGAATGAGACCTGGAATAGAACTCTAGAAAGAGAATCTGTAATATGTAATGTGACCATTTGGTGAAGCAGCTGGACAAATGCCAGCGCCAGCTGGCCCCATCCACGACACTGGAGGGAGGTGTCTTGGCTTGTGCCTGGTCAGAAAACGGCGAGTCTGGCCCTTTCCAGCCCCTGGTGACTCTACTCCTAGTCCGGTCTGCCTTGGGTGTCCTGGTTCTACCCAGAGCAGACTTGCGGTCCTGCTGCGGGCTGGCCCTAGGGGATGGTGGTGACCGCGGGAAAACCTGGCACTGGGCAGCCTCAGGATTAAATGTCTGAGAGGAAAGGTGGTAGCCTTAATTTACTCATCTAAAAATGGAAATGTTACTGTTGTCGCTTTTGTTAGTTTCTGGGAAGATCAAGTGAGATAATGCAGGAGAAAAAGCACATAAAAAACTGTGAACCATTCGTTTGTGGTGAGTTGTGATGGTGCAACTTCTCTCATCTGTAAAATGGGCAACACAAGGGCCCACCCACTGGGAGGACTGTGGTGGGACCCAGTGAGTAAAAGATAAGCATCGAAACTTGTGCACAAATAATGGGATGGTGTAGCTATTGCTGGCCATGCGTGAGTGCGGCGATGAACGTGACAACACTAAGAGGGTCTCAGAGTGGGGGGCAGCTGGTGCAGAAGATCTAAAGATGGTGTGTTCTGGGTTTCTACATGGTCTGTTTTCTGCTGTGTAAGTTTGGTTCCAAAAAAAAGAAAATCCAGTACATGCAAGTCTTCAGGATGTTTTTTAAAGCGACGGAGGTGGCCTCGTGTGATCAGGGGCTGTTCCTCACAGATGTGGCCCAGGGAGCCCCAGTGACCAGGCTCAGAGTTTTCGCTTAGAAGTCACAGATTGTGGGCTCTCCCCTGGTCCTCGAGTTCCAGCCCTCCTCCCGTGGCTCTGAAGCTCTGCCTGGCCAGATGAGTCAGCCCCCCCCCCCCCCCCCCCGACAGAAGCAGCTTTCTGGAATCACACCACATGTTGCCTCGCCCTGGCCAAGTGGTCCAGCTGCCTCCCTGAGCAGCCCCGCCTGGGAGCAGCTGGGGAGTCCCAGCAGCAGAGCTGAGAGGGCAGGCTGAGGCCTGGCAGTGAGGGGCCCCAGGGCCGCTTTGGTTTATTTCAATGTGAGGGGAAGGACATTCATTTGGACAGCAGGTGTTGATATGTGTGCTAAAGAAGTGGTCGCATTACTGACTACACTAAAGGTATGCCCCTAGGAGTTTATTTACTTGTTTAACAGTTTGTTGTAAAGGACAGAGATGAGCAGCCAGATGAAGCGGTACATCTTCATCTCATGAAGAGTGAGGTCTGGAAGGTCCCAAGTATAGGAGCTTTTATCCCAAAGAACTGGGGTGTGTCGCACCCTCTTGGCATGTGGATGTATTCACCGACTCAGGAGCTCCAATGAAGTTTATTTTATTGCCAACCATGTCAGGAATGAGATTGGGTCCCAATAGAAGAAAGTTGTGCTAGAGTTCTATAGACAAAGGGAGGTTTATTTATTTCATGCAGCAAGAATCCAGGATAGGCATTTACAACTGGTTTGGTGGCATGATAGGGTCAAGTTCCCAGGCGTCCTATTTTGGGGGGCTCTACACACGAATACATATGTGTTCATGTGTGTGCATGAGCACACACGTGCACACATGTGCCTTTATATCATGCCAGTTATCATGTGGCAGGATGGCTGTTACATACCTAGGCATTTCCTCCACATTCCAGTTAGGAAGCAGTAGGAAGGGCCAGGCCCTCGATCAGGAAAACAAGTCTATAGAAACTCTCACCTTGTTTTTCTTTGGTCAAAACTGTGTCAAGTGGCAACTCCTAGCTGCAGAGGAGTCTGATGAAGCAAGAATTTTTAGCAAGTTACATGAAGGCTATTCAGTTTGGTTAAGAAAGAAAATGGGAAAGACATTGAGCAGGCAATCAGCAGTGTCTGCTATGACAGTGTAGCCTGATTGTGATTCTGATTTTCCCACAGTGTAGCAATGAGGCCTCTCTGCAAATGGATGCCTGGTGGTCTAGAGCAGGGGTTCCCAACCCAGTACTGGTCTGTGGCCTGTTAGAAACTGGGCTGCACAGCAGGAGGTGAGCAGTGGGCCAGTGAAGTTGCATCTGTATTTACAGCCACTACCCATTGTTCACATTACTGTCTGTGCTCCGCCTCCTGTCAGAACAGCACCAGCATTAGATTCTCATAGGAGCACAAACCCCACTGTGAACTGCGCATGTGAGGGACCTGGGTTGCGCGCTCCTTGTGAGAATCTAGTGCTTGATGATCTGAGGTGGAGCTGAGGCAGTGATGCTAGTGCTGGGGAGCAGCTGCAAATACAGACTATCATCAGCAGAGAGGTTTGACTGCACTGAGACCATAATAAATCAATTACTGCCCTGACTGGTGTAGCTCAGTGGATTGAGCGTGGGCCTGCGAACCAAAAGATCACGGTTCGATTCCCAGTCAGGGCGCATGCCTGGGTGGCAGGCCAGCTCCCAGCAGGGGATGCACAAGAGGCAACCATACATTGATGTTTCTCTCCCTCTCTCCTTCCCTTCCCCTCCCCTCTAAAGATAAATAAAGAAAATCTTTTTAAAAAATTCATTGCTGTCAGACTCATATCAAAACCCTATCAGTGAGTGACAGACGACAATTAAGCTGCATCTGGTGGCAAGCTATAAAGCCATCCCTCCCCTCTGTCCCCATTCTGTAGAAAATCTTCCACAAAATCAGTCCCTGGTGCCAAAAAAGTTGGGGACCACTGGTCTAGAGGAGCACGTGCAGCTTGAAGAAGGACCTACTCAAAATGAGGGAAGAACTGGGGGCGGGGGGAGAATTGGGCCAGAGAGATACAACCTCACGAGCCCAGCGCTGGCTGCGTGTGCCTCTGAGCCCCAGACTAGCCACAAGACTCCCATGACCAGTAGCCATGAACTGACTCCCATGACCAGTAGCCGTGAACTTATGTGTGGACGAGGAGCGTCCTGTGGGGAGCCACAGGTGTATTTCTTTGGGATGAAAGGAGTAGGTCTGGGTCACCACCTTTCTGCAAGGTGTGATCTTTTAGGTGTGATGCGCTACTTATAGGGTCTTCCAGATTCAGACAGCCGTAGTAGCGACACTGGTCACCCAAGAGCAGAAGCCTCTCTTTGTCCCCATCACCTGGACATTCAGGAGCTTTCCACTCACCAGGACTCTTTGTCTCTCCCTCTTAAGAAAATCCAGCAGCTCTCAGAGGGCTCCATGTTTGGCCACGGTCTGAAGCATCTGTTCCACAGCCGCCGCCGGTCACGAGAGCGGGAGCATCAGACGTCTCAGGAGTCGCAGCAGCAGCAGCAGCAGCAGCAGCAGCAGGGTGTGTCTGACCATGATTCCCCCGACGAGAAGGAGCGGTCCCCCGAGATGCACCGGGTCTCCTATGCCATGTCCCTGCACGACCTGCCCGCCCGGCCCACCGCCTTCAACCGCGTGCTGCAACAGATCCGCTCCCGGCCCTCCATCAAGCGGGGCGCCAGCTTGCACAGCAGTAGTGGGGGCAGCAGCGGGGGTGGCAGCAGGCGTGCCAAGAGCAGCTCCCTGGAGCCCCAGCGCGGCAGCCCCCACCTGCTGCGCAAGGCCCCCCAGGACAGCAGCCTGGCCGCCATCCTGCACCAACACCAGTGCCGGCCCCGTTCCTCGTCCACCACCGACACAGCCCTGCTGCTGGCAGATGGTGGCAGCGTGTACCTCTTGGCCGAGGAGGCTGAGGGCCTCGGGGACAAGGTGAGACTGGGCAGGGGAGGGCCTTCCAGGTGGGCGGCTACTCAGAGGCAAGCGCCACCTTGGGGCAGGGGGTGGCTTCAGGACCTGGAGAGCTGAGCTGGGGGCCCTGCCTGGTGGGTGTGAGCACCCTGCTGCCTGCAGAACTGTCCACCTGGTTGAAGGAGTCAGAGGTAAACTAAGCCCAAAGCAAGAGATGATCCCAAAGAACTAATTTTTGTTTCTTTCACAACTACATTTTGTTCAGGCTGATACTAATTTTTTGCTTGCTTTCCTTAAACTTGCTGTTGAGAGGCAGTCAATGTGCTGGTTAAGAGCACAATCCTGGTTCAGGACTGCACGTAGCAGCTGCATCAGTCACTCAACCTCTTCGTGCCTCAGTTTCCCCAATTGCAAATGGGGTACTAATAGTAGCCTTATTGTAGAATTACTGGTGAATGGGTTCATCTGTGTAAAATACTTGGAATGGAGTGTGGTACAGTATCATTTTTATTATTATCACCAACCAAAGAAGATAGGAGAGAAATTAATGAAGTATTGTTTAGTAAGGAGAAAATCTAATTTGGTACTTCCTGAATTTCTGTATTCATTCTTTTATTCATGTAACAAGTATTTATTGAATAGTTGTTACATGCTGTAAGAATGAACAAGCCAGCAGTGCTGTCCTCATGGAGCTCACTGAATAGAGGGGAGACAGCTGGGTGAGAGGACAGAGTGGGGTGGTGAGGCTGTGAGAACTGCAGGGAAATGCGGGTGGGAGGGGGAGTTAGCAGGGAAGTTCCGGAGGAAGCCGTCCCGATGACTCTCGGAGGAATGTAATTTAGCCAGGGAAGAACTGGGCGGAGGGGACCGGGGGCTGGACAGTGCAGCACGTACCAAAGCAAGTAAGCTCTGGTGCCGGGGGCCACTAGGAGTTTACAGCGGCTGGAGTGTCCAGCACTTTGGGGGGACTGACAGGCTAAGGCCAGTGGGACATGGAGAGGAGGAGACAAACTCAGAAGGCTTTTGGTAGTTAGAATCAATCATACACGTTGAGAAGTGGGTATGGAAGCAAAGGAAGGGAGAGAGTAGAGGGTGAGCCCAGGGTTTAGGGACAGCATTCTCTAGCTGAGGAAACACAGGGAAGGAGCACATTTGGGAGGAAAGCGAGGAACTCAGTTTTGCTGTCGATCAACTACAGAGCACCAGCCAGCCGACGGGTTTATGGGCCGAGGTCCCGGGTGCAGCTAGCACCTGCAAGTCAGCACTGAGCTTGAAATCATGGGTGTGGATGAGCCCCTGGAAGGGCATGTGTTGAGTGAGAAGGAGACCAAGGACAGATCTGACGTATAAGGGACAGAGCAGCCACATGCAGAAGTAAACCTGGAGAGCAAAAGGCAAATTTGGAGGAGGAGGAAGTAATCAACAGAGGGAATGTGGCAGGGGCACAGGTCAGATCAGAATTTGGAAATGCAGATGAGTAGTCTCAAATGAAGGGAGGGGGTCATTGGTAACCAGCAAGTAACCAGCTTGGGGCATTGCGGAGATGGTGGAAGGGGAGGCAGCCTGTGTAGCTAGTCTGGGGAGGAGAGAGGTCAGCGATAGTGGCCTGAGGCAGTTTGGGTTTTGGTGGGTTTAAGAGATGGACAAGGAGGGCTGCAGATCCCATAGGGCCTGGTAGGCCAGGAAAAGGGCTTCTGGTTTTTTTTCTCAAGTGAGACAGGAGGTCCTTAGAAGGTTTTATGCAGATGAGTGACACCTTTTAAGAGATCACTATGGCTGCTGCAGGGAGAACCGGCTGTGAGCCAGGGGGTGAGCATGGAGCCCGCTGGAAAGCTGTTGGCATGTGCCAGGGGCGGGGTGGTGGCAGCTTGCAGCGGGTGGGAGTGCTGGAGGTAAGGAGAAGTGGCTGGATCTGGATTTGCTTCAGAGACCGAGCTACCTCCATTCCTGACAGATGCGGGGCATGATGGGGAGCCGGCAAAGGTGGCATACATGTTTTTGGCCTGGCAGCTGCAAAGAAGAAAAATTGCCATGAACTGAGTTGGGGGAAAAGGGCAAGTGGAACAGATATTTGGCAAGTGCTATGGGGATAGAAATCAGAGCAGGTATGAGATGTGTTTCATCTGAGGTAACTATTAAACACCCATGTGGAAATGCTAAGCAGTCAGATGAATGAATGTGGAGTCTTGGGGAGAGATCCAGGCTAGAAGTGTACATTTGGGAGTTGTCAGTTTATAGATAGTATTTAATATGATGGCACTGGACCATTTGCAAGCAAAGTTTCAACTGTGAAGAAGTCTGTTCCAAGAGTGAGCTCTGGGTGTATCACCAGAAGGGCGATATGGCCTTGCGGATGCAGACTCCCGGGGGCCGGGCCAGCACAGCCTTCGACCCTGTACGGGCACTCATTCTGCCTGTAAAGCAGCCGGGCCCACCACTCACTGCTGAGTTGGCAAATATTTGAAAAAATCAAACTAGAACAGTCCTGGCAAGTGAAGGTCTCTGGTACTACAGTCACTTTACAAAGAAAGAGAATGTGAACCTTATTTGTCTCCATGCCTGGAGCAGATGGAACTGGAGGGCAGTGGGTCCCCCGGAAAGCTGGGAGGGCTTGTAGATGTTTGCCGACTGGCAGTGCCAGGGCAGGGGCTGGGGTGGGTGCAGACAGCTGGGGAGCTCCTGCGGGGCTTTCCCCATGGCTGACGTTTGGCCTTAGCACTGCCCTGGGGACACCCGGAGGGCAGGCAGGGCTTCTTCTTGCTGCTGGTGAAGACCGGGCCCAGAGACTCGGGTGGGCTGACTGGGGGGTGGTTCCCTGGGCTCAGGGTGTGACAGGGGAAACACGGCGCTCCTGTGATTGTTTTCTGTTCTTATTTAGAACCTTCCCCTTTCCAAGCTTTGTCATGAGTGCTGCCTGGTTCATCTTTTTTTTCCCCCAAAGATTTTATTTATTTACTTTTAGAGAGAGGGGAAGGGAGGGAGAGAAACATCCATATGGTAGAGAAATGTCTATCTAATGCTTCTCGAAGGCCCCCAGTGTGGACCTGAGTGGGAATCATACTGGTGACCAGAAGACACCCAGCCCCCTGAGCACACGAGTCAGGGCTGCCTGGTTAATCCTGACAACATCTCCATGAGGTGCCAGAGCAGGTAGTATGATCTCCGCTTTATAGACGTATAGACTGAGGCTTGGAGGAATGAAGAGGCTGCTTGTCCGAGGGCACCTAGCTCGATCATGGCAGGGAGAAGACTAGACCCCACGTTTCTAGTGCATCCACAAGATCGAACTGAGATTTGAAGTCACCCAAACCACTAGAGACCGTTTTGTGCAAGATCCACAGGTTTGCCTCAGGCCAGGGAGGGTGACTGGATCTCTTGGCTGCCTCTTCCCTTCAGTTATACAGATTTCTTAACCAGGGGCTGTCCTCCCAGGGACAGGTGTGGCCCTGGGGTTCCTGAGCGGGGGCTACTTCCAGGTCAGGGGAGGGGCCTGCTCTCTCAGCTGACTTGCCCAGACCCAGAGGCCATTGGTTGGTGTGCTAGGCTGTGGTGCTTCCACCCTGGTGTCTGGGCATGAATAGAAGGTATTCTTCTCTGTCTAGTAAACACAGCCCCACGTGCTCTCTGCAAGCTACTAGCATCTATTTTTAATTCAAGAGCCTCCCCCATTGTGCACACCCCTTGTCATTGTTTAGAATGTGTCAGCTGGCTTTCGGACCAGAGCCCTGAGGGTGGTGGGGTGGTTGAGTCAGCAACACACCCTGGAGGCAGCTAAAGTTCCTGAGCTGTCCTGGAGAGGCTTACCCTGCCCCCAACCTAAGAAAGTAGGAGACCTGGAGCTGGGGTTCGACAGAGGGCCAGTTAGGGGCCCTCGGTCCCAGCAGCGATTCAGCCTTGGTGGCGGAGCCTGTTGGTCATTCTTCCCTCCACACCCAGTTAGCCGTCTTTGAGGCTGTACCTTAAATGACTTCCCTGTAAAACAAAAAGAAGTTGTCATCTTAGCCTCACCATTCTGCTTTCTGTTATTTATGGGACACTGAAGCAAGGAAACCACTTTGTCTTATACCTGTAAAGTGGAAAAAAACGTCTTTTGTTGGCGCACTGGGGCATTGGCAGGTGAAGACAGCGCACAGGTGATGTGACTCCGGGGCTTTCCATCCGTGCGCGGCCCTAACTGCCGGGAGGGCTGGCAGTGGGGAGCTCGGTAACGTGTGCCGTGGCGGTGGATGTGGGCCGCTGGTTCCTCAGCAGTTGATCCCCACCCTCTATTTTTTGCTTGGTTTTGTTTTGTTTTTTGCTGAGCAGCACTTCCTGGAAAAAGTGGCCTTGGGAAAACTGAGTAACTTCCGTCCTGCTTTCATTACCTGGGAGTGGGTCAGCGGCCTGTGTCCCTGCCCTGCTGCCCCTTCCAAGTCTGGCTGGCTCAGGGCTTCCCTCTCGGCCTGGTTCAAAGCCTCTTCCCAGCTGTCACCACGCTCCTCCCACCCCTTCTGGGCTGTGCGGGGCGTGCCCAGCAGAGGTGGATTGCACAGAGGTGCTGGGTTTACCACTCACTCTGCGAGGAGCCCCTGGCTTTGCCCTGCTCGCCCTTCCCTGCTGTGCAGGGCCCTTGGTCCCCTCTGAGGATGAGGAGCCGTGGTGGGGTGGGAGCTGGCAGCCTCAGGAGACCAGCATGAACAGGCCTAGGGGCAGGAGGGCTTCTCCTCACAGGCCAGCCTGCTGCCCCAGGGCTCTGAGGGCTGGCTGGGTGGGGGGAGGACCAGGTGCTACTCAGTGAGGAGGTGGAGAGATGATGTCATGACTGGACACTTCCCTGCGGCCTCCAGGAAGTGTTATCTCCAGGCCCCAGGTGGGGAAAACAGTTGCCTTCAGCTTATCACGTAAACCAGAGCAAATTCTGGAAGCCTGTTACACTCCTCCCCCAGATTTATCCCACAACAAGATTTCTCCTCTGCCCTGGTGCAGAGAAGCACCCCTGTGTGCTCCGAGGGGCTGGCCCGGGAGGGGCTGCCCTCTGCCCT